AAAAAAAAATTAGAGTAAAAATCAGATTATTTTGATTAAATAATTTCTTCATCCAATCAATCATCTTTTAGAAAAATCTTAAGGAAATCGCATATCACATTAGATACGTTTCTGCCATATTCTAATGGAAATTATTCTTCTTAATTATTCTTCTCCATAGCCCGTGGCTTCATTGAAACTTTTTTTTATTGAACTTTTAGGAATTCAAAGAATCACCATTTCACTGATATTTTAACTCTCAACTAACTGTTATCACCATTTATCAATCCAAAAATCTTGAAAGCACTCCCATAACATTTATTAGAAATGCTAATGCTTCTATCCATTTTAATAATGGTGAATATAAAATCGGTTTGGTGTTTAATAAAAAAATTTCCGACGCATTATTTCCTCTGAAAATTTGTCGAAAATATTTCTAACGACGTTTTTATGCTCGTGTTTATTTTTTGACCAGTGAAAAATTTTATGTCAAAAATCTATCATAAATATCAATTACTGATGGATTTTAGTCATTTTTCGGAGAAAAATGGCACCTGGAAAATTTTGTTTTTCCTGTAGTGCATGTTCTCAGTGTATGGAACATAGCCCTAGTATGGAGGGCACTACATATTCTTCCAACATCAGAAGCTCGGTTCTACCAATTCTAGTCCCTCCTCTTAGCATAATCTGGGTTGTCCCAAGCACTGATCAAGTCGGCCCATACACTCATAAATCGAAAGCGATCGCTCGTCTAACTTTCTAATGTATCTAAACATATCTCACATGTGAATCGATATGTGATTCTCAAATCTTTTGGTGGTTTCTAATCACGTGCCTAACATTTCTAATCCTCATAGCATCCCTTCTATGATTAATAAGGATGACAATAATCAATTCTCTGCTTGCCCTACTGATCTTGAAATTCACCATACTCTTATGGAGATGAATAAGGATTCGGTTGCAGGCCCGTATGGTTTTAATGTTGTTTTTTTTTTCAAAAAAGTTGGAATATTATTAAAGTACATTTATGTAATGTTGTTAAGGATTTCTAATGGGCTTTCTATTCCTATGTTTTTTTATGAGCACCTCTTTAGTCCTTATTCCTTAGTGCAATAATCTGAATTGCTTGAATGAATTCAGACCCATAAGCTTATGTACTACTTTTAACAAATTAATCTCTAAAATCCTTGCTCTAGAATGGCTCTTCTTCTTCCCCAAATTATTCCATTAATCAAACTAGTTTTGTCAAAGGTAGAAATAATTCTAACAATATTTTGCTTACTATGGAGATGATTCATGATATTAAATGTAAAAGGAGAGGTCATAATGTTGTTTTGAAGTTGGATATCTCAAAAGCTTATGATAATATCAATTGAATATTATTTATAATATTCATAAGCTTTTTGGTTTCAATGATATCTATATTACTCTTGTTAGGAATATCTTTTAAAATGTTTGATACTCTATTATCATTAATTGTAAAGCTCGTGATTTTTTCAAAGGATTTCAAGGTGTTAGGCAAGGGAATCCTCTTTCTCCTGCACTCTATATCATTGCTGCTTAATATCTTTCTCGTGGTTTGATGGACATTTTTTTCTAAACACAAGAGTTTGGCTTTTACTAGTCTTGGTGCAATGGTCATCCATCATTTAAGCTTTGTTAATGATATTATAGTTTTTCGTAATGGTTCAAAAAAAATATCAAAATGATTCCCAAATTGCTTGAAGTTTTTGTAAAAGAAAGTGGTCTTTCTTTCAATGAAAAAGAAATGATCCTTTAGTTGTCGCAAAGGTTTGAATCAATGAAGTATCAACACTATAGCTCATATTACTGGCTTTACGAATCAATCCCTCGCTATTTTTTACTTAGGTCCTCCGCTCTACAAAAGTAAAAGGAAATCCTTCCTGTTTGATAAAATGGTTCAAAATATTAAAACTAAACTCTCTTCTTGAGAATTTAAACTGTTCTATATTGGTGGCAGACTGGTCCTTATTAAAAGTTTCCTATGCTCAATTCCTATTTATCTCTTCCAAACTAGTAATCCTTACTTGGAACTTCATAATATATTGGATAAGATAATCAATAGAATTTTTTGGGGCTCCTCTTCTAATAGTAATAAGATTCATTGGAGGGCTTGAAATAACTCTTGTACTCGCTAGTATGGTGAAGGAGGTGCTGGCTTTAAATCCATTACTAATATGGTTAAGTTCTTCTCTATTAAACTTTAGTGGTTTTTTTTGCACTAACAAGTCATTATGGGATAATTTCATGAATTTCAAGTATTGTAAGAATATTTACCCCTCTCAAGATTTTTTTTTAAAAGAAAGTTCAATCTGTTACTGGTCTAGGCTTTGCAAAATTAAGTGGCAAGGTGAGCAATATATTCAATGGGGCATTAATTTACGTATTGCTATTTTTTTTGTGAGTAGCAGTGGAACATTAATTTGCTTAGCGATAATCTTCCTCCTACAATGATTGTAGCAATTCAAGACATTGCTATTAATATTAATATGTCGAATAAACCTATTTTTAAATTTTCTACTAATGAAAATTTTAACAACAATGATGCTTGGAATTATTTTGTGCTTGGAATGATTACAATATTATATTTAGGAAATTATGGAATTCTGTTTCTCCTAAAAGTATTTCTATGTTCACTTGTAGATTACTTAAAAATTCAAATCACATGGATGAGAAATTAAGATTGAAAGATTTCTACACGCCTCTAAATGTCAATGTTGTTACAAACCTCGATTCAAGGATTATAATTTTGATGATAACAAATATTTTTGACATTCATATTTTTTTACTAATGTTACTACTGCACATCTATTTTGGTTGTCCTTCATACTAATGTTTCAGGTCCATAAGGTCAATTACAATTCAAGTCAGCTCAAGATTAGGTATATTTGGACTAAGTCAGTCTATAAGTATAATTCTAGTGTTTTTATATTTTCTTGAGTCAAATTGCACACACACACTCATAAGAAAAAATTCTATAAGGTTAAGGGTTTTTTTGTTTTGATCATATCGTATAGGACGATCCAAAATCATCCTAAAAGATCAAATAAA